ATTTTACCGTGCTGGAGGGCAATGACACATATAGTCACACACAAATCCTTAATTTTTTCATATAATGTCTCAGTATTCAAACTACTGCAATTGTCTAAACATCACAACATGGTAGTTTCAGCACATCTTGAGACGACAGGGCAGCTCGAGGTTATCTGCTGTTTTAATGGCGATGTGTTTCTGACCTCTAGTGGCTCAACTTTAGTAGTACCAGTGTTATTTTAGTATCATTGATACTCTGAAAGTTTTTATCAATATTTTAAATTGAAAACAGTTGACACTACCATTAAAACGTTTTTTTTTTTTTTTTTTTTTTTTACATATGCTTACCAAGTCTGCATTTATTTGATCAAAATATTGTGTGAAATATTATCACAATTTAAAATAATTGTTTTCTATTTGAACATATTTTAAAATGTAATTTATTACTGTGATGCAAAGCTGAATTTTCAGCATCATTACTTCAGTCTTCAGTGCCACATGATCCTTCAGAAATCATTCTGATATGCTGATTTGCTGCTCAAGAAACAAACCAGTTATCAGTGCATAAAGGCTTATAGTTGTTTACAGTAGCATATACACATTGTCTGTACATCTACACAGACAATCTATTTTTCCAGGTAAGAGTATTTTGCTCCCATAACTAACCCATAATGCTAATTTAAATAACCTAATTCCCACAAAAGTAATCTGCACAGGCAAATAAATATTGTGATGGGTCTGTTGTAGTGTAAATTCCTGAACAGCAATTATGAAATTCTGCATCCTACTGCATGTTAGTAGCTGGATGCTAGAATTTATTAACAACTCACTGATGATGATGATGATGATGATGATGATGAGCAACTTAAACAGCTACAGGACCGAACAGCTAGTCCTGGTGCTCCTTAAGGCTCTTTCCAGCAATTCAACCGGGCTAAAACCTCCGTCAAGCTGTAGTGGCTTTGACTGAGCATCTGTGATGAGAAACAATGCCAGTTCAAGTCTCATCAGAACACAAAAATGCTGTAAACACTCTGAAAACGTCACTTTTTATGTTAAAGGAAAAGTTCACCCAAAAATGACATTTGCTGAAGAATTTATTCACCTTCAGGCTAACCAAGATGTAGAGTTTGTTTCTTCATCAGAAAAGATTTGCTCTTTTGCTCACCACTGGATCCTCTGCAGTGAATGGGTGCCGTCAGAATGAGAGTCCAAACAGCTGATAAACACATCACAATAATCCACAAGTAATCCACACCGCCTCCGGTCCATCAGTTAATATCTTGTGAAGTGAAAAGCGGCGTGTTTGTAAGAAACAAATCCAACATTTTTTAACTTTAAACGGTTGCTTCCAGCTAAAATACGAGTGCTCTATCCATAAAATTGATTTCTGCAGTGAAAAAGTGGTCTGGTCTGAATCAGATGTGAAATATACACAGATCAAGCACCGTTTACAAGTGAACACAGTCCAACAGTTCTAAATGAATAATTCTAAATGGCTTTTAAAATGAGAGGACAACAGTGGATGGACTTTTTCACTGGGGGAAACATTATTATGGATTATGGACTTGTATTTTGGCCAGAAGCAACAGTTTAAAGTTAAAACGCCTTAATGATGGATTTCTTACAAACGCAGCTTTTCGCTTCACAAGACATTAAATGATGGACTGGAGTGGTGTGGATTACTTGTGGATTATTGTGATGTTTTTATCAGCTGTTTGGACTCTCATTCTGACGGCACCCATTCACTACAGAGGATCCACTGGTGAGCAAGTGATGTAATGCTACATTTTATCTGAATCGGTTCCAATAAAGAAACAAACTCATCAACATCTTGGATGGCCTGAGGGTGAATACATTTTCATTTTTGTGTGAACTATTCCTTTAATGCAAAAACATGTATACATTGTTATGCAATATAAATGAACAGCTGATTTGAAAATTTAAAAAAGCATTTTATTTTATAAAACTATACAGAATATATTTTTATACTTTATATGTTCTTGCTGGAATACAGTGTCAATGCAAATTAATCACGATCATTTATATGCACTGATATGAATAGCTTACATATCAGTTAATAGCTTAAAAAATGACACACTTCACCTTAAGCATTAAAGCACTGCATCTCATGTCAATCAGCCTGTAAGTGACTCATAAATGATTCATATTTTTATTCAGTATTTGTTTCCAGACTTTCACACAGATTTCTGTGATTTATTCATGCATCCTGCACTAACAGTTAGTTTACAGATATATACACTGAAAACAAATCATATAAATCAAAAAACGCTGTTGTCCCTATCAGGGAGAAAGTTTTTTTTTTTTTTTTGCGTGAGAATTGGATCATAGTTTACAGATATATACACTGAAAACAAATCATACAAATCAAAAAATCCTGTTGTCCCTATCATGGAGGATGTTTTTTGCGTGAGAAGTGGATCATTCATGACTCCATAGAGAGCAGCTCAGTGGCCGTCTGCCCTGTCCTGCTCTCAGCTTCTTTCTGTTCGAACAAACCAACTTTATTCTGTAGAGAGATTTATGCATGACCACAGTGACACCCAACTGCAACTTCCTGGTCTGAAAAATGTCAAAATATAAAAAAGGGCTTTTCATCTCTGTGAAGGCCTGACAGAAAAGCTATGATTAATGAGAGACAGAAAGAGAAAAAGCGAGAGAAAATAGGCTGCACAGTCCTACTCATCCTTATACAGAGATGGGTTGTTTATGATGCACTTTCTACTCAAGTCTAGCCAGACAAACATATGAATATTAATGGGAATGTTGTGTAATGTCAGTTTATGTAAATGTCATGCTAATTCATTTATATTAATAGAAGGTTTTGGAAGGTGCAACAGGAATTGAGATGTTGTGGAGCAAATCCTTAAATGCTGTAACGTTGAGGTCAGTTGCTCTATACGTTTCAACATCCACCTGTTACACAAATACAACATATCCTTCTGAGACCCTGTGACCTCATATGAGGACATTATATTTTGGTGTATTTCTCTGAGACTATACACGCCACAGTTTTGGATGTCCTGTACAGAGCACATTCAGGGATTTTCAGAGATACTAAATGTTTGGATGTTTCACCACGACCACTCCTTGTATATAATGAGAAAACCCGTTTATGGCCATTTTACACACATTTTGCAGAAAGAAAAATGGTATATCAAATAATTCTGTTACAACATAGTTGAGAATCATCTTTATACGAAGTTTGGTAGAAAAATAAATCCTGCAAACTAAAAATGTATTGGTGATTTAAAAAATATATTGTTTTTGCCTATGCATGTTCATTCATGTATTTTTATTTTATTTTTTTTTAAATTGAGTCCCGATGTCCTCTACCGAGGACATAGTATAACTTATGAATGAAATATCATTTTTTATTCTTTTTTTTTTTTTATATTGTTTTTATGCTCTAAACAATGTAAAGACATGAAAAAAACTATTTTTTTCCTAAAAATCTTTTCTTGGGTCTTAAGAGTTTAAAAAGGAACAGTTCACCTAAAAATGTCTTCGTCTTTTTCTCACCCTCATGTCGTTCCAAACCTGTATGACTTTTATCTGTGGAGCACAAATGGAGAAATACAGAAGAATTGTAGTCGTTCTTTTCTAAAAAAGGGCAATATAAAAAAGTGAATATAACAATGTCTGATTTGTGAAGATTATTCTTTGAGTCAGATTTTTTCTCCATGACTCATTTGATCCAGTTCACAATACTGTTCTAAGTTATTTGTTCACATATTGTTACTTCTGTCATGAATGCACCAATGAGATCTAGGATGGTTTTCAGTAAATAACAACCGAATTTTTTAATGTTTCTCACACAATGCTATCATATGTCTTCAGAAGACGTGAAACGTGATGCTTAAAAACTCCAGTCTCGATTCATTGCAAATGCATAAAAAAGAACAAACCCTACATTGATAGGGACATCGCCTATTAAAGAATTCACTTTTTGCTTTTTTAAGGAAGAAGAAAGTCATATAGGTTTGGAACAACATAATAATGACAATTTTCATTTTAAAGTGAGTTATAAGTGAGCAAAAGTACATCTCAAGATCCAATTCCAAAACAATTCATGATTCAAGTCATTTTTTACAGTGTTATTTTAGTATTATTGTATTTTTTCATATTTCAAATTAGCTTTTATTTTTAGATTTTCAGTTTTCATTTTAGTTAAATTTTTAGTAATTGTATATTTTTGTCATTTTGATTATTTTAAATACTTTCTTAGTAATTTTAGTATATTATAAAATATTTATTTTATAAGTTCATAATTTTCGTTTTTATTTTTCAAGTTTTTATCTAATATTTGTTTTCATTTCTTTCAGCTTTATTTGAGTTAATCATTTAAGTTAAGAATAATAACATTCTTTTACAAACATTCTAAGGACCCAAATGCTGTGCAAAAGATGTTTAGCAAAGTGACTCACTGCTTAATGCATAAAACCTGAAAAAACATTTTTTTTTAAATTGACAATCAGTGGGTGTGCTCATTCTAACGCACGATATATGTCTCCTGATTGCGATTCTTGCATAAATACATTCACATTCAGCAGAACTAATAATGACATTTAAATTGGAATTACAAATTTTTGCACATTGTTTGAGACAGAACTGCAATGCATCAATGAATCAATCTCCGTCGCTGCATGGTTAATATATGCAGTGCAGATGATTCAAATCAAACAAATAGACACTTCACAGATCAATGAGACGTCTCTGCTTCTTTCTCTCCATTTCTAGGTCAGAAATGAGTGGTGCAGGAATGTTTCAGCTGGTCAAATGTTGGATCACCCTCGAACTACCAATGAAAAGAGCGTTCACACACAAACACACACACACCATACCATACCAAGAGAAGAGGAGCATTGGGGGGGGGAAACAAGTGAGAGAGAGAGAGAGAGAGAGAGCGAGAGAGAGAGAGAGAAACGCTACAGATGCAGGAGGTGGTGCTTGGACACATTTTAGAGGCGTAAAGGCCTGCCTCATTTGATCAGATCAGATCATTTACAAAAAGCCACATCCAGCACTCAAAGCAAGAGAAAGTCGCCGCCGGCCGCTGCCAGCATCCTCACCCCACTGCAGGAATAACAGCAGTCTGGCTGTTGCATCAACAATACGTAGCTGGACATGAATCTCGGCAGTCTGCGTGGCGTGCTGGACGTCAGCAACGCAACCTGGGCTCTGTCGGAGCGCTCTGTGCTGCAGCCCATGTGGGATTACCTTCAGCAGAACCACGAGAGCACCTTGCGCTCGCCGCTGTTTCCCGTCATCCTCTCGGTGTCCATGTACCTGGTGCTGGTGTTCTTCTACACCGTGCTGGACCTGCTCGCACCCACCTGGCCATCCATTCGACGCTACCAGATCCACCAGCACCGCACCGTCACCTGGTCCAACATCGGCTCCACTTTGGCGCTCACCACATACAACCATCTGCTCTACATCTTCCCCGCCGCCATAGCCCAGTGGCTCTGGCGGCCGCCTGTGCCGCTGCCCTGCGAGGCGCCCACACTCACCGCCTTCCTGCTGGGAATCGTGGGCTGCACAGTGGTGTTCGACTTCCAGTACTACTTGTGGCACCTGCTGCATCACCGCGTTGGCTGGCTCTACCGCACCTTCCACGCGCTCCACCACCAGTATCGCCAAACCTTCAGCCTGGTTACGCAATACCTGTCTGCTTGGGAGCTCTTCAGTGTGGGCTTCTGGACCACCGTGGATCCTTTGCTCCTCCAGTGCCACTGTCTCACCGCCTGGGCATTCATGCTGTTCAACATCTGGGTTTCTACTGAGGACCACTGCGGCTACGACTTCCCTTGGGCGATGCATCATCTGGTTCCCTTCGGCCTTTGGGGTGGAGCGCTGCAGCATGACGCTCACCATCAGCAGCCGGGCACCAACTTTGCACCTTTCTTCACTCACTGGGACTGGCTAGGGGGAACCGCGACCATGCCGGCTCCTGTGAAGACAAAAACGCGGAAAGAAAGGGACGAAAAGAAAGCCTGAGGCTCTGCTTTCCCTTTCACACTCTCGCACTCATCTCTCTCTCTTTTCGCTCCATCTGTCCCACCCTGTCTCGCACGTTCCCCGTCACTATTCATCTTCTCCCTGAACTGCAGATCAAGTGTCTTACTAACAAACCAGTAGAGAAGCAAGCAGCACATTCCCAACGAAAGCATCCTTGTCCTTGAATGTATAAAGTGTCTTTTCTTGCAAATCTATCTATTTTTCTAAATAATAAAAAAAAGCTCTTTAGCATTTAATGGCCAATTTGTGGAGTTTTGTGGCATATCTCAGGTTTGTAGTTTTGGCCTAATGTCTTTCAAAAAGATTACGTGTTCAAAATGGCTTGTATTCCAATGCTTGTTATTGTATTTTGACACTTTTCACTAAACTTGGGTCAATAAAATACTGTGTTGTTTGTTAAGTTTACTTACAGCTCTGTTGATATGCATTTGAGGATGCTTTGCAACCTTTGGAAAAAAAAAAGGCACTGACTGTTATAATCGTTAGAGAAGAGGAGCGTATGAAGTAACTGTGTGGCATGTTGGCTAACACAATTGGCTCACTGTGATTGCTAGAAAGATCTAAGACTACTTACATCATCACTGCTGCTGTTTGTGTTTGCTAATATAAATTCAAAATGTTCAAAATACAGACTACATGAGTTATTTTGAGCATGATAATTGGGTTGACATAGTCATGGTAAAGTTTATAGGCACAGATCACCCAAAAATAAGTTTTTGTCATAATTTGCTCAGCCCCATGTCATTCCAACTTCATATTATTGTCTTTAGTTCATGAAACACAAATGAGATGTTCGCCAGAATGTCTGAGCTGCTCTTCCAGCAAAAGTGGATGGAGATTTAGCTATAAAAACAAGACAAAAAGCACTACATCCCAAGTTTTCTGAAGCCATACGATATATGTGTGTGAAAAACAGACCAAAATTTAAGCCACCAGAGCTTTGAAATCATATTCACGATTGGGATGATGCATCATGCCTGGTTGTACATCATTGAGGCTTAATGCTATTGGTTCTCGAAAGTCACATGGCCGAACAAGTAAAAAAAAAAAAAAATGAAGTTCATGCAAAAATTAAAATCATGTCATAATTTACTCACTGTTATTCCAACTCTTTGTTTAATTAAACAAACAATCAGATGTTTGAGCTGCTCGTCCAGTGAAAATAGATGGTGTTTTATACTGCCAAAGTGTACAAAAAAAGACAAAAAGCTCCAAAAAATGTGAGTTGTGCACTATATCAAAGTCTTCTGAAGCCATGGGATAGATTTGTGTGAGAAACAGACTTTTTATTCATTTAAAAAATAGCATGCCAAGTGGAACATCACTAAGGCTGAACGATATTGGTCCTCATGTCACATGACCGATCACAATGTGGCAAGTTGCAACTGTAAATGACATTTCAAAACTTCATTAGGCTTAAAGAGACAGCGCACCCAAAAATTTGCTCATAATTTACTCACCTTTATGTCATTCCAACTCCATATTATTTTCTCTCTTGCATTAAAAACACAATATGAGATGTTCGTCAGAATGTCTGAGCTGCTCTTCCACTGAAAGTACATGGTGATATATACTGCCAAGCTTTAAAAAAAGACAAAAAAGCAACATAAATTGGTAGACTTCCGAAGCCATAACGTAGATTTGTGTCCAAAACAGAGCTTTGAAATCTCATTTGCAATTATGGTAATTATAAAAAGGCTCTTTTTTGACATATCATGCCAGGTCACATAACCAATCATGATATGGCATGTGACTTCAAATTAAATGACATCTGAGAACTGCATAAGGCTTAAAGAAACAGTAAAAAAAAAAAAAAAAGATGATATTTTGATGTTTAAAAACAAAAAAAAGAAGAAGATATTTTTAAAGAATACGGGGTCTAAAGCATCATTTTATCTTACTGACTTTAAATGCACAGACAAAACACGGTTCAAAATATTTTCTTTGTGTTTGCAGATGAAAGTCAGTCAGATTTGGAACGACATGAGGGCAAATAAAAGAATTTAAATTTTTGTGCGAGCTATCTCTTAAGATTTTGCTCAGTTTCTCACACTAAGGTCTCAAACAGCTTCAGAAGACTTGGAGTATAGAGAATGAGTCGTATGGACTACTCTTATGGATTGAAATGACAATGGGGGAGCATAAATGACCAAATTTGAGAACTACAGAAGAGAGAACGATATATGTTCACACTTCAGGATATGGATGTCCAACCGGCCTGAGCATACACCTCAGCATGGAGTGTTTGTTTTCAGCCATCGTTCGGTTCTATGCCACACTATGTTATTCGACAGTTTTACATAAGAGAAGCCCGCAGAGAATCTGGGCTGAGATCAGTCTACAGCCAAAGCGGAGAGGCAATGCTAATTAATCATCTTCTCTTTCAGCCTCCTACTGATCCCTCTGGCACATGGAGAATAGCTCTCCATGCTTTAAAAGAGAGCGAGAGAGAGGAGAGAGAAAGAGAAATTCAGATCAAGTTTGCTTATGACACCAGGAACTGAACAATTTCAGATATGATTCTGGATTCTTCACAGTAAGATACCAGCATGCAATGTCACATAATATGGAAGACCTTTAGCATAGGGGGCGGTGGTGCTATCTGCAACCTTTGGCTCACTCGGAGTAGGCCAAACAAACAAACATGAAAATAAGAGCTTAGCGGCATTTGTGCGTGCGCGGCTGAGCGGTACCTGGCTCTCGTCCAGCAGCTCAGTATCTCAGAAAACCTCAGGCTGAGCTCTCTAAACAGTAAGTTGTTATCTGCAGCTCAGCACAGGAAACACTGGAACATTTCCCATCAGGCACTGTTGTGGACGCCTCCCCCTCTGGCACTGCAACAGAGGGGTCCTTGAGGAATGTGGAAACTGGGAGAAAATGTGGACTGTGTTTTAAGCAAGTAGTTATGCAGGAGAGATAAGATGCTGAGACAAATCATCGAGTTATCTGCGAACATCTGAGTGCTTTACATTTAACACTAGGATACATCAGTCACCCAAATTGACAAGAACTAAACTCACTTCTTTACACTAAATAATATATCATAGAATAATCATCACAGTTCACCTAATAGCCTACTACCATGCTACTTATGGATTATATAATATGTGTATTGTGCACAGTATGCATATTTTATGTATGCAACACTCTGATGACCTATTATATTTGCAATATACAGCAGTACTGCACAATATACCGAATCCCACAATGCAATGCATTAGACTTCACCTTCCAATTCCACTATAGAGTAGAAGAAATGTTAGTCCTCATCTCCAAAAGTCACCAAGACATTGTTTTTACCACAAATTGTATTATAAATGCAAAATAACTGTATTAATTTCCAAGATGATAACTGAATAACTTGTATACAAAATTAATTGTGCAATAGAGCTACCTTTTGAAACGTTTATAGTTCAATATTGCATACTATTTTACATATTACTTAAAAATAGTAGGCAGTACATAGTATATACTGTGCAGTAAACAGTATACTACTGTAGTACTTCCTTCTGAACAGCCAATACATTAAAAAAATAAGTGCTGCACCTACCAGATCTGTACAGTAGATGTCACTGTGTTCAATACTCTTCCATCAACGTGACTAATAGACTGAGAAAAATGTCTTCATAGTAAAAGATACAACTGAGAAATAGAGTACAATGCATTGTCATTTTTAACTTCAATACATTTAAAGGGGTCATATGATGTTGCTAAAAAGAACATTATTTTGTGTATTTGGTGTAATGAAATGTGTTTATGGTTCAAAAAACACATTATTTTCCACATACTGTACATTATTACTAGATACATAGATAGATAGATAGATAGAACAGAGTGGTAGAAAGATAGACAGATAGAACAAAAGAATGACAGACAGAACAAAATAACGAGTGTGTGTGTTTGTGTGTGTGTGGGAAATGTGAATGCTTTGACTGGGACATGACCACCACCAACAAACCTGCTTCTGCATACTCAGCTGAACAGGTTTGACCAGTCATTGTGTTTCTGCTGAACACAGACCCAAAGAGTTCCACAGACTGGTCATATTTTTAAAAACATAGGCCAACACACATCCGTCAAACACTCGAGACCCCGACAGACACAGCAGTGAACAATAAATGATTGTGTCTTGAGAAGTGATCCTGAATCTTAAACTGCAGGTGGCGGCGCATGTGCACATGAGTTTGAACAGCCGAATGAGAGACGATGAGACTGAGTTGTATTGTTTGCACAAAACCACAAACATTTATCTGCTCAGGATACAATCCAAAATGTCAACACTTACTTCCTACAGTCAAACCTGACTCACTAACACTCATTTACTCACATGGTTATAACGTATACCTGTCTGTCACAGTTTCATGTTTCTACTACTCTGCTTTATGTATCCCTGAGGTTTGTTCATGCTTGGAAAAAATGTAAAGCTGAATAACAGGTTGGAAAACACAAAGAAAGGGGAAAGGGGGAGGGAAGAGACAAAGAAAGAGAGCAGGGGGAGGGAGATGATAGAAAGAGAAATAACGTCTTCCTCTCTGTGCTGTCAGCGTTATGCAATAGGAACTTCACTTGCTTTAAACTGCTGGTCTGTCATAAACAGCAAAGGACAAAGATCACAATCTTTAACAGTCTTTTAACAGCTAGTTGTTCGGTTCTTATACCTTAAAATATCTGTACTGGAAAACGTAAATAGTGGCAAGTACCACTATTACTCATACTTCAGGTTAGAGATTTGAAAAAAACATCAGAGTATGAAACTTTCATCCAGCACCCTTTATGCCACAGACTTTAATTATACCTCAAATTATGTTGCTTTTTAAGGAAACGTTTGCTATTATTTTCCTAACTCATCCGAATTACAGTTGATGATAAAATGGGCTAAAATAATCCTATACTGCATCGGCATCTAAAGACCAAAGAAAGTGTTATTTTGAGCAAGTAGCCAAGTAGCATGGTAAAATTGTAACTAAGACACGAACATACTGCCAAGTTCTGCATGGGCAAAACAACTTATGCTACATTCTCTTTTACAATATGTAAAT